TTCCAGGTAGTATTGGCCAAGTTCATCCAGAAAGCGTACACCCACTTCAAATTCGTTCACTTCATTGGTCTATAAAAACACACATCAGGCTTACCACATCATCGAGAGCGCTATTAACGAGAAAATAAGCACTTTTGACAATAATTCTACGTTCCAATGAGCCATCTGCTTTCACTTTAAAATCAATAAATTACGCTAAATCTAACGAATAATCTAACAAGTACAATTCAGCCGTTCTGAATTTTCTTTGGTTTGTACGGGCTGTTATTTCAGAAGTTTTTTTGCGGTCCATCAACGGCCGCAAAACAACAACTTTACAACCACTTCACCCTCTTTGGCGTGCCTACTTGGACCGTCCAATTTTGGTCCCGGCCTCCTACGGCCTCTCCACTTTCTATTTATAGCAATAACATCCCTCCACCTTAATTTGTACGGTTCGTACGGGCCGTTAGTTCCGAAGCTTTTTATGGTCCACCAATGGCCACAAAAATCAACTTTACAACAACTTCACCCTCTTTGGCGTGCCTACTTGGACCGTCCAATTTTGATTCGGCCCTCCATGGCCTCCCTATTTCTATTTATAGCATAACATCCCTCTATCTTGAAGTTTCGACGGTTTGTACGGGCTGTTAGTTCAGAAGTTTTTGCGGCCCATCAACGCCGCAAAAAATCACTTTCCAAAATCACCTTTTTCGGCGGCCCTACTTCGGCCGTCCAATTTTAGCTCGGCCTCCTACCGCCTCTCTATTTCTATTTATAACATGATATCCTTCTACCTTGGGGGTTGGATGGCTTTACGGCTGTTAGTTCAGAAATTTTTTTTGTGGCCCATCAACGGCCGCAAAAAACAACAACTTTACAACAAAAACAACAACCTCTTTGGCGTGCCAACTTGGACCGTCCAATTTTAGTTCGGCCTTCAACGGCCTATTTCTATTTATAACATAACATCCCTCTACCTTAATTGGTACGATTTGTATGATCTGTTATTTCAGAAGCTTTTTGTGGCCTACCAATGCCCGCAAAAAACAACAACTTTACAACAAATTCACCCTCTTTGGCACCCCTATTTGGACCGTTCAATTTTCCTATTTCGGTCTCTCTATTTCTAATTTATAGCAAAACATCCCTACCTTGATTCTATAGAATTTCATGGCCATCAACAGGGCAATAATGCAATTCATCGTGTACGGCGTTATTGGATTTTCCTTGCGCAGCTCATTTAGGGCATTCATGAAGGCACGTTGAATTACCGCACCATGTGTATGTGATAAAACACCAAGCACTTCGGTGAATCGTTCGGTTACCATCAAATAGCTGTTATATTTCGAGCCATACGTTGAACTGCAATAATTTGTCAAAATTCAAAAATTACAAAATTTTCTAATTTATCCAATTTCCCCCTTTTTCGGTGAAAAAGTCAAAATTCTTTTGTATTTGTCAAGGCCAAAGTTAGGGAACAAAAACGTGCACGTGATAGCACAATGATTCCTGATTCATGATAACAGTAATGAAGATAATGACAACAGTACAGTAACAATTAATGACAATAATGATGATGACAGAAATAACAATAATAATAATGATAATAAGGATGAAGGTAATAGCGACAATAATAATAACAATGATAATGATAATAATAACGATAATAATATGCAATAAAGCAGCATTAATAATGATAAGATTGCTGGCATAATAAATCATACGACATTCTCATTAAATGACAGCATTAAAAACACCATAGTCCCTCAAAATTTATTATCGCCTTGTAACCCTACTACGGCAGTCTCCAGTTATCTTGAAATAAGGCTTTATTTTCCAATCAAACCGATAAATAAGGTGAATTTTCATGCC